AACATATTGACATTCGATCGATCGGAGCAACAATCAATCACTCCAATGTGTTGTTGGATATACAAACTATAACCCACATGGTGACTGATGTTGTAACACATGTCGTAACACAATATTGAATCAATCAAACTGCAATTACACACTCCATCATATGTCGCATGTGTTGGCATGTCAAGTGTGGTGATATCGGGTCAAACCAGTCGATTGGCATAGTAATCCATCAACATTCGAGTCGGTTGATCAGCCAAATAGTTTAAATCTGCAGTAAGATTAAATCAGGATACTCGACATGTATCGAGTTGATGACGTAGCAAATATTACTGGCTGTTGTCTGATGATATATTACAGAGTTGGATTTGTAAAGTGAACACTGCTGGTAATTGAACTGCAGTATCTAGCATATTGCTTTGGATACTTTTGACTCCAAGTGCTTGATTGCGATTGCGATTGCAATTGCAGGTGCAGGTGCACTTATAAACCAAATGTGTTTTGAGCGATTCATACACTCCATTCATATCTGTTTTACCCCACTTGCTCAATATATGTGAAATGAATGCAATTATCGGTATATCAGTCACTGATCCTGTGCTACAAGCCATGTGTATATTTATTGCATGTATTACATCATATCTCATTCCGATTGCTGGGCTAGTTCATCTATTTTGGTCTCCATTTGGTATTTGATTTGATACTCCATTTGATACTCCATTTGGCATTCCATTGTTTCATTGATGCTGTAAAGTCGAAACATTGTTTTGGAGTCTGTTGAAAATGGATTCTGGATAGCATTGCCAGTCTACAGCCATCAGACACCGTTTCCTGAACCAACCTGCTCCATTATGCTTATCAATTGATTTTGATACTAGTACTATATAGTAGCATATCTACCACACCAAGTTTGGCACATGTAAAGCAAACTGATTGGCAAGACAATGACTTTGTATAACTATAAAATCATGAATGGCGAATATGCAATTCAATCTGATGCAACTTTACTTGTCGAAGCTCGAGTGATGTCCTATATGACCAATAGGATCACATCAGGACATACTCATTCAACCCTAATCCTGACCATGTTATTTCAGCAATCCCTGTGATCTGATGTGGTTTAGTAGCAAGCAGCCAATCTTGAGTTTAGGGAGGAAAATCCCTTTACAACATCACACCAAAATCAATCAGTTTATCCCAGATGCTCTGGCTATCAAGGGCCCCAATGTTTCGAGGCACAAAAAGCATATGTTGACTGATAATAGCATACTAGTCAAGTATCCGGGCGGGTCGCCCGTTATTGTACAGAGCTCAGTAGATGGTAGCCGCCCTTTAGGCAGATGCAAATCTGTGTAGACTTGTTAGACTCGAGATAAAACCAAATAGGGCGATAAAGTCCGATTCAATCGCGAGATTCATTGTAACCTTTCATATAGTTTGTGACCCACAAAACTTTCGTGTAACGACCAAAATAGCCTATTCATACAGATAGTGCTTTGACAACAAACTCCACTGTTACTCCTTGTCGAGTATAAAAACACGCAACAATCTCATTTTGAAAACTATACAGGCATTGAGATCGATACATTGGTGCTAACCAACACATTCCAAACAATACAGCATAATGAAACTTGCTCAATGGAGTATTATTCTCGGTGCTTCTAGCATGGCTCTTGCAGCCGTTTCTCCCGATAGTTCAGATGATAAATCCAACTTGCAGCGTCGTGCATTAGAATCATCAGAACAAGATGTGCACATGTTTGCTCGCTCGCCTATACCACCAGTAAATATGACACCAGAAGAAAAGGCAATTTTAAAAAGCATGGAGGAGGAGCGAGACAAACTAAAAGACGCCCTGGAAAAGGCTAAACAAAGGGAAACCGAGTTGAATCAACGCTCAAAGGATGAAGGTTTGGATCAAGCAAGTCAGTTGAGCCCAGAGCTAAGATCAGAAGTGGAGAGATTAGCACAAATGGCAATGGAGAATATCGAACTAAAAAATGCCGTGACCAAGCTTAGACAGACTGGGTCCGTACCGGAAAAATACTGGGATGATTTTATTCAGAAACATCAGTGGAGTCCAGATCTACTAGCACAAAAGGCGAGATTAGATGATATGGCACGGCAGCGGGACGCACTAAAAGACGCTCTGGATAGGGCTAAACAAAAGAAACCCAAATCGAAGAAACACAAGGGCGGCTTGGGTAAACATACAAGTGGTTCAGATCAACAACCAAGTGGTTCAGATCAACAACCAAGTAGTTCAAATCAATTATCGGACAGTTTGAGTTCGCTATATCAGATAAGCCCAGAGCTAACACAAAATATGCAAAAAGTAAAAGATCTGTCACAGGAGCGGGACAGACTTAAAGAAGCCATTGAGAAGGCTAAACAAAAGAAACCCAAATCGAAGAAACACAAGGGCGGTTTGGGTCAAACAAAGAAAACAGCACGCCCTTCAAAGCGAAGAAAGGGATTAATAGGATTTTTGAAAATACTTGGAGGAGTAGGAAAAAGAATATTCAAAAAGAAAAAGTAAAGGCATACCGAAGCTGGCAGGGTAAAGGAAAGCTCCGAGACAAGACTTGCAGCAGCTATTGCACAAATAAGAGGGAGATAAAGTGACCAAGAGATTCCAAGCCCAAATAACTACATTAATTTCAATTTCAATCCCAATAAATAATACAATGTTAGATTCGAACAAGAGTGTTGTATCTGTTTGAATAGTGATGTTTAACTGCCATGAATCAATATCGATCATTTGTAAAAATCAGCTTGTTTTTAATAAACTGTAAACCAACTTGCACTATACGAATGATAGTGTCGTGCCTGCAAGTGTAGACTGACTGCCAGATGACAGTATACTATTAGTCTATTAACACTAACCAAATAATCATTACCAATACCAATACAAACTGTTTACATTTTTACAATATACTTTCATTTAATAAATTGTAAAAGCCATTACTAAACTTGAGCATTTAGTCTTGGTCACAGCTTTTTCCAACATAGATGCAGCAAATGTCCATGCGAGTGCATCCAGAAGTAGGTTTAGGACCACGAGTAGTGGTGGCTCTTTTAGTGGTGGTAGCTCTTGCGGTAGTGGTAACCCTTTTAGTGGTGGTAGCTTTTGTCGTGGTGGTGGTAGCCTTTTCAGTGGTGGTAGCTTTTTCAGTGGTGGTGGTAGCCTTTTCAGTGG